CGGTGAGGACCGGTAGGATTTAACGTCGTTTGCACAATTTCCACAGGTAATGGTTGTATCGCGGCGATTCTAAACGGATCCAATAATCTGTGCAGCGGTATATGCGTAAGCGTATCGGACTATTTGTGAAGCGTTCCGCGTCGTGCGCGAAGCTGGTTTTGGTGGCGAACCCGTGTGTGGTCTTCCGCATAGATCTCATGTAGTTTACTATTACGATGTCCCACTACTGTGGCTTCCATTCACTATGGGTGACCATCCCGGTATTCACGCGAGAAGACATGGGCTCCAACGGCGAGTCCATTGCGACTGGTGAATTTTTGGCTTTTCATTGGTGATTAATTAGTTAGGATCAGCGCTTCTTGTGTGGTTCACTAGTTCAATAGTGTGTGATGGGATAGAAACCTAACTTTACAAGACCCACAGGATGGACACGCAAAATGAAATTAAAGTTCAAAAGGTCCAAATGTAGGACGTGGAATATCAGTAGTTAAGCCATTTCACTGTTGATTAGCGTTTATCAATAAGATGAAGTCCAAGTGTCCTTCGAACATCGTGATGTCTGGTACGTTCACCACATGGGTTGATAGTGCATTCCAGTGAGAACAGATTCTAAGTGAGAAAATGCGTTCTATAATTCATACGGGAGAGTTGCATCAGTAGTTTCGGATGGTTGCCTCGGCATTATTTGCAAGGGGCTAGGGTCAGCAGTGATGTACATTGATGCTTGCTTTCAGTTAGCATCCGGTATATGGGAGTGAAATTTCCGCGTACTCGTCGACATTCTGAGGGGAACATATTGAGTACACGAAGATGCAGTTCCTAACTGAGAACTGACATTCCACGCGATGCTTGTGTGGCTCTTCTTAGGGATTGCTCCATTAAGCGAATGTCACGTTTTAACCATGGACACTAGGCCTGCATTGCATATCCAACGTGTAGGCGAATATACGAGTTAAGCAGCAATGGTACTAACCGTCGCTTAAAAGTGCGGAAAGCGCAGCTTCCGGCCTATCAATGCTTCGACGGGCGAATTTCCTGCTGCAGCGACTGGATTGCGTGTGGTTCTGTATACGAGCAGTGAAGCTTAAATAAATATTTCTACTCTGTTTTGTCCACGAGCTTTAAGGTGTGAATGTTTAAATGTGTGGACGAAACGTTCCGCTTGGCCGGTGCATTGAGGATTGTAGGGCGGTGATCGGAGGTGTTGGATGCAGCGACAGCAACAGAATTCTTTTAGTTGAGATGACAAGAAATGCGACCCGTTCCTGGACACTGAGGCAGCAGGTAGTCCATGTTGGCTGAAAATTCGCTGGAGGCAGGTTAGCAATGTAGTTGTGCTCGAAGGTGGGTCAATGGCTACGATTTCAGGTCATTTGGAATAGGCATCGATCAGAAACAGCTAGGAGGTGGCACTACTTGGACCAAGCTAGTCGATGTGTACGCGAGGCCTGGGTTTTTCCGCTGAGTGCCCGAGGACTGGGGGCGGCGCTGTGGCATCTTATCTGCATGTTAACATCGGGATCAGATGGTCTAAGGAAATAAATTGGCAAAGCCAACTTGTTGTTGCCAACTAAGATAAATTAGCTTAATGTTTGCTTTTGAGATGCCGCAAATTTTTTCTAAGGTGTCTCCTCAAAAGGAGACGGGGTAATGCCGCTATACAGTTAGCTGCACACGGCAGTCACAGACGCTGGTGGCGGATTGAAGGGTTGACTATTCAACGTTTCTCGGAGATGCTAGTGATATCTGAAGCAATGTCCAGCTGCAATCGGACAAGCTGCCCATTGCTCAAGACGTCGGTGAATTTCCTGCTATCCGCATTGCCTTGGAAGGTTGCCAGCAAGTTTACAGAGTTGCCAACCGGACTACTTTAGGACTTAAGTCTGTATCGTGACTTTTTCGTTTGATTGTAAGTGGGGCCAGCTCAGTTTTGGCCACCTTGTGCGGCGAAGGGTTGCAGTAGCCATCACGATGTCCCACCCTGCCGCAACGCTGGCATCAGTTTTGGCAGAACTTGCAGTCGGTGAAAATTCCAGGCATTACAGAATCGGCAAGGATACGGTGCTTACTTCGCTCGGTTGAGTTCAGAGGGCCGCTCCGAAGATCGCGGCTTGGGTGCGGCAACTGCTTTAACCAGACCAGGTGTGGAATCGTTCTGGATTACCGCGGAGTAGTATTTCAGCTTGATCAGCACTAGACACTCCTTCGCCAGCTTCTGGAGTATGATCGTGCTATCTTGCTGCAGCTTAGACAGGTTGCGCGTCCGAGTTTCTGCATCATGGGTGGACTGGAGCCCAGCAATTAAAAACTAGGCACTTTACTGGTTTTCTGTGAGGGTACCGAGTTGGAACCGTTCGCACTCCCGCTTGACGATTCCCGCTTACGAGATGAAGCTGTCGGCATCCTGTCTGACCAGCTGGTGGCATTGGAAGCGTGTGTTGAACAGCGAAGACTGTTAGCAAAAGTCTGCGACAGGGTGCGTACCGTATCTTCAAAGGTAACATCCCGGGGTATTTTGGCAAGATGATGTTGGTGGTTCGTTGGCGCACGAGCGTGCAAAGTTCGCACGGAAGCAGCCGAACTTTCCACTCGTCCCTTCGCATGCCAGGTCAACAGGGAATTTGTCCGTGTACCGTTTATACCATGAATCGACGGAGATAGCGGCGCCGGGTTCTCAGAGGAACTCCGAGTTACTGCCAACAATATTATCGACCGCTTATGGATTACTAGCTGGACGTGACTGAATCGAAACACTGGAGAGTTTCTCGGGCATTTCGGTCATCTAACTGAGTTGTCTTCGAAATGGCGCTTTAAGATCATTGTACGCAATCTTCATGGATCGAAACACAAGGTCACCACTTTGTTCTAACTTGCTAATTGGTCAGGTCATATGTAGCATGGGGTGGTACGACTGTCGCTTGAAATGGAGGAAGGTGAGAGAGTGACATCCCGCACGGAAAGTAGCTGACAGAATTCAAGTTCCTACAATGCAGGTGCATTGGGCACAATAAGATCCCATGAGCACAGTTGAATCCTTCTCTTAGACCAAGCACAGACGTCACCCGCGACTTTGACCCAGGGAAATAAGACAAGGAAAGACAGACCCTTCGCGTCAAGCACTTTACTGGCCAGACCAAGTACTTACCACATAATCTAGCCTTGCTCATATGCAATCATTGGCGAAATAAGAATTTAACGTCAAGTGGTAAGCCAAGCCTAATTAATCAAATAGACTCTTGGGCTATTAAAGGAAAAGCAATATCGATAATAGAAAGTGATCGAATTGGCGAGAGGTCAGAAGTCAGTAACGGAATTTGCGCTGAATTAGTTGAAAAGTAGGTGTTTTCGGCCGAATTAGTGTCGATACTTGATGGGTCTTGGCCGCAAAATTTTCTTGCTGCAGTGACTGATAGAAATCATTTTCCGACTGAGGTCTTTTGGGGGCTTCCGATCCCCACGACACTTCCAATTCTTCTGGTCATATGGTATCGGATCCCTGGGTGTTGTGATTGTGCAAAGGCATCAGCTCATGCCAGATGCCTTCAACAGAAAATGTGGTGTAGTTAATTCCGGCGGACGAAAGACAAAGTTGGAAGATCGCTTTATATAAAGACCCTGTGAAATGTTTCAGCATAATGTATTCACTGTGCGTTTTCTGCTTCTATGACTGTTCCTGTTAAACCACCAGTCTTCTGGATGTGAGACACTTCTTGTCTCACCTTATATAGCCCATTGACAACCTTGTACAGCAGTTACTGATTAGCGCTAAAACTTTTCGTCATGTTCTACTGATATGCGGCTTTGTCTTCTGCGATCATTTGGGTGCATTGTAAGGTTGTGCCTCTTAGATGTCTCAGATTTCCAGCTTTAGAGATAAGTTTTCCCCACAACATCCTATCATCCTTTTACTCGTGCTGCTGCTGACGAGAAAAAATGTTTTGTACCCATTGCATACTCTTGTGTTTGATACTTCGGTAATCAGCTGATTGGTTTTACTGACGAACTCGAGTCACGCGTCTTCTGGGGTCTTCGGTGAGGAATTATCAATTTGTGGCGCCATCGGTTTCGGCTAGTGGATGGACGATGTCTAAAAACGAATTTTATGACTTGGCCATAAGGCTTTGAAATTTAAATTTAGTGCTTCATCTGCAACTACGACCGATGACGGAACTGAATGGTCAATTGATAAAATCACAACCAGAGAGTCATTATGTGCCGAGTTCCGCTCCCAGCTCCTTCAGGATGAAACCGATCGTGAAATGAATTGTTCGTAGATAGGGGCATCGATATATCGGAACTCGAGCGTCTTCACAAATCAACAAAGTTGTGAAAGCATGTTCACGTTATGATAAGCTAGTTGATATATGTTTCTCAAATCACATGGTGTTGCTGGTTTTTCAACGGATAGCATGTCGTAAATTGTCACCAACGAGACATCCTTCCCGCTGCATCTGTTAAAGTTGAACAAAGCCGGACGCAGTCACTGCACACCTTCATACATACTGTTGTACTTTGCTAAATTGTTGTTGGGGAGGGGGGCAGGTTGACTAAAAACTAACAACAAACCGGGTCACGCCTATTTTCTTAATTGTACTTATTGAGAGCAGCAGTTTTCTACAGTGAAATTTAATCACTCATTCCTATATCATGATAAATCGTCCTAAACCACTGACTAGGAATCTTATTGTCCTAAGTTCCCTCACAAAATTGCTTAGTAAACCGATCATAAATGTTACATCAATCCATTTTGTACCTACTATGCGCTTAGAAACAAGTTCATTTTCAGATTTGCAAGTGCATCCAACTTACCTTTAAAAGCTTGGTTTCGAACAAAGACACAAGCGGCCGAATAATATTCCGTACATTTCGGTGATATTTTGCATATCTATTTAGCTCCTTCTGCTATTTCACTCATGACGTATCTCCAGTACCAACGTTCGTTCACTGCTATTATTATGAGTCATATTCAGAACTTGCACATTACCTTCTCCCACTTACAGAAATCCACCGGATCTCATTTTCAGTAAGTCATCATACCAATGTTATTTGGCCGCTAAACTGGTCTGTGGATGACATTTTTCATGATCAAACGCTTCAAACGACAAAACTGGCGAAGCATACTTCCATCGACAAAAGTGATAAGTATTCTCAGAGCATACCAAGCACAAGGGTGAGTTTGTACTTGCTTGTCAACTGTAGTTAAAATCGCTCGATTCATCTTTATGTGCTATTGATTTAACCAAATTATCTGTCACACTTTGCACTGCATCATTTCGTAAGCACTAGCTGCTTACATACCCTTACTACATAGTGAAATATACAGAACAAACTGCAAGACCGACTGGAGACCTATGATAAGCTCCAGAAAAAGGGGAAAATTCAGTGGTTAGTATGGGTGGAGTTTGGAACATTGTATTTAATGGGGATAAAAGCTCCAGCTTTACATGGCCCATAGGGTAAAAAGAGTTCGGATCGGGTCTAATGAAAGGCAAAGCAACCTTATAGCGGGTTGGACTCGCGTGTTAGCCGTATCTTCATCGGATTTATGCGGCATTTAAACAGAATGTACGCCGACTCAAAGCGTGACATCCCACCACGCCCTCCGAAACGGCTTTGGAAAGGAAGGTGGAAGAAAAAAAAGAAAGAAATTCCATCCAGTAGAATGTAGTTAAATTAGGGAATATCGCGGTGTAGCTCGGCCAGATGACAGTCCAAGCGGGCCTTAAAGTCCGCCACAGTGGGTGCCAAGACTAAATCGGCAGGCAGAGCATTCCAGGGTCGGCAGATTTGCAAAGCGAAGTAGTGTCGTCTGCAGTTCAGCCGACTGTGCTGATGTGTGAGCCTCAGTGGGTGGCCACGTAGGTGAGACCCCGGTTGGTGCAGTGTGAGTAGGTGGCGACAGAAATGTCCAGGGTTGGATAAGATCATGAATACAAGGATCAGGTCGCCCCGTAGACGTCGGTAGTTAAGCGAGTAGAGGCCCAGGCACTGAAGTCGTTGTGGATAATCTAGGTGCTTGAGACCTCGGACCAGTTTGGTTGCTCGACGTTGTGGGGCTTCGAGTATGCGTTGGTCCTTCAATAACCAAGGGCTCCAAGCCTGAATAGCGAGCTCCAAGTGGGGTCAAAGAAAAGCGTTGAGGAGGAGCCGGAAATTGCTGGGGTCAATTTGACCGAAGGCTCGTTTCAGCAATCCCACCATGCGGTTAGCAGTAGCAGCTGCTTTCCGGCAGGAAGCGGATACGTAAAGACTCGTCTGGGTAATGATACCCTAGTCTCTTTCGACTGAAGAGATTTGGAGGGTAGACGCTTCCAAGTAATACATAGGAGATAAAACGGAAGGGCGGGTATAAAGGACGTGACATTTCGAAGCGTTAAATGGAATGTTGTTTTCTATGGACCACTGATGTAGACGGTCGAGGTCCGTCTGAAGTGCGTGGGCATCATCCGGGAGGTTAATTGTGCGCCACAGTTTCCCGTCATCCGCGTATAGCAGCAGCGAGGACTCCACTTGCGGTGTGACGTCGTCAATGAAGGCTAGGAAGAGGTGCGGTCCGAGAACAGGCCCTTGTGGAACTCCGCTTGTGGCAAGGATGCGGGAAGACAACGCTCCGTCGACGCGTACTAGGAAGGTACGGTTTTGGAGGTAGTTCCGGATCCAGTCCATCAATTCCCCTGAAACGCCGTAAGACAACAGTTTCTGCAGTAGAATCTTGTTGTCGACCTTGTCGAAGGCTTTCGCGAAATCCCGGAATATAACATGCGTTTCTTGGTCAGAGTCGGCTGCAGTCGTCCAGCTGTCCCTGGCAAGTAGCAGGTTACTCAGGCATGACCGTTGACGCCGGAAACCGTGCTGGCAATCAGAGAGCAGTTTCTGGGCCGCCATGTAGTCCATTAAAGCGTCTGCGACGATCGATTCCATCGCTTTGGAGATCGTAGATAGGAGTGTTATCGGTCGATAATTTGCCGGATCTTTGCGAGTACCGCCTTTGTAGATTGGTGTAATAGTCCCACATCTCCAATCATTGGGAACTTTGCCTTGAGATAAGAAGTGGGTGAACAGCTCCGCTAGGGGTGCTGCAGCGCACGCTCGTAAGAGTCGTGGGTGGAAATCATCAGCGCCAGGAGAGGCCGTTAGCGGCAGGGATTTGAGTTTCGCCAGGACCTTTTCCGGAGTGAAATGAACAGTCGTCAGTCGTCAGGGAAGTTGAGAGTTGTTATTATTGTTGGAATAAAACCAGATCGCGATAGTGTGAAATTTCAACAAAGTCGCTCGTCACCAAAAATCAGTCTAAAGAAAACGTTAGGTGTCACTTGTTGAGCTTAGTATTTTATTGTCCCTAAATTGACACCATTGGTGTGAAAGTGAGCCATGTTGTTGCATCAATGAGGGAGGCTGAAATGACGTAGACAGGTATCGGTAGAAATTCCTCACTTCTAGACTCATCCATACATCCGTCACACGCCCGAAAAAGCACTGTACGCGCGTTTCATCCTTTCAAGAATCGTCAGCAGTGCGCATCCCATCGGACCCTGGTAGGGCTCGAACCCACAACTCCACTGTTGCCACTTCGTGGTTGAGACCACTGAGCTTCGGGGGACGGCAATGACCATTGTGAATAAATTACTAGATGTGATAAAGCGCCGCTCACTATCCACTGACTTACACGTTACTGCCGTGCAGAGGACACGGTAGTCCCCTCACCAAGCGATGAGCTTACGAAACTTAAGCCGCCAACTAACTTATGGCATTATGAGCAACTTGCTCTGCGTACTA